TACATGTCATCAGAGATAGAAAATGAAGCTAACTGATTACGTTTAGGTAAGCAACAAACATCTTCCTTATTACCCTCTAGTTTTTCCACCTACCCTACATATCTGCTACCTTGAGGTAAGTTAGAGACGGTACGAAATGGTATGTTGTTAGAAACGTATTAGCTGATTATCATGTCTTTCATTTTTATTCATTTTTAAAGCTTACGTTTTCTGTTTCTCCTGAGTTGAGTGGGTCGGATACACAACAAAGAAACAGTGTCTAATGGAAAAATGTCCAGGCCATCAAACTTACAACGATGGGTCAGATGTAATAAGGTTCTTCCACATTCCGCCTCTGTATCCAATTTAGAAATTTAGAAGTTGCATGTTGCTTCGACTAAATGACACATATCTGGTTGAGTTAGTCAAGTGGTATTCCAGATTCTATTTATTTCGACATGGCTAAAGTTATATTTACGAATAATGTAAATGCGGTATTATTCTCTTATAAAAAGAAGGATGATCCAAAACAAGGTGTCTTCGTTTGCGTTGATCTACTTAGTGATGTATATATATAGTTAGTAATTCTCATAGAGCGATTTTTAGTTCTATAGATTTGTGTTGCTGGACGTTTCTATTTCGAAAAGATGTTTGATTTTTGGGCGTACAGATTCGTTTAAAATTAAGAGCATTATAGAAATACGAGTACGCACAAACATTACTATTAATTATGATATTATTCAATTACTGGCATATAGGTAATTTGTGTTTCCTGTTCAGCTTTTTTAAAACACAAAGTTTAGAAACGGGAGAAACTAGATGGGCTATGGGTAGGTGGAGCTCTCAGAATTACCAATATAACACGCATTCATAGCGCAAAACCAGCTTCAGACTACGCTTCAAAGCAACATATAAATAGCATAAAATTATGCCAGCGACGTTACCTTATTCTATGCAGGCCATGAGCTGCGGTTTTTACTTTTACTATATAAAACGATTTGTTATTAAAATAATGGTTTGGTGTGGAATCGACTATACTTACCTATATAGATGGCAAAAAAGATCATACCGTAGATAAATCATTTATTTCCTTTAATAGCAGTGCTATTTGATGAGAAATGATGGTCTGGCATTACATACAGTTCCTAGACATTACATGTATATAGTATATATACTGTATATATGTATATTGTATGTATAACACAACCTTTCAAATGCTTTTCTAAAATTATCAGAAGACTTTCGCTGTGTTTCTAGTAGCAGCGACAGATCTCTAAAAATAAAAAGAAAAACTTAACCTCACCATTGCAGCCTGGAACAAATTTCAGAGCTAACATTATCTAAGTACTAATCTCAGATGGAACCCTCTCGCCGTACCTTTTTCGAAAGTTATCAGAACATATTCCATGACACAACAATAATAAACTCTGTTAATTGATACATTCATTCTCAACATTAACCATAATTACCGCTAGCGAAAAAAAAACGTTACACATTATATATATATATAGCCGTGTCTGAGAATATATGGAAACCGAAGTAACGAATTTGCGCCACGCCGTTTAGTGGAGATTCTTGTTTATGTTGTCCTAGGTAGAGGGCGTTGTCGGCATAAGACTGTCGCTTGTATGAGAAGAGCTGCGTTCCCGCTAGCGATTATAAATCGGACACCGCGTCGGGCTCTCCCCGTGGGGCTATAAAAGTTGCACTCTGTTGTAAGTGTAAGGCAGTCGTCATTGCTGTCAGTTCACACAAATTTTAGGTACTTGAGTTCGTTATCGACCATGACTAATTTCAAATACCCAATCGCACGCCGGGCCGACGTGAAGGACTGCCTCCATGGAAAAATGGTACGTTTTACACAATTCTTAATACGCATAGCTAGAGTTTTACGTACTATAATAATAACTGAGAAATATTGCAATCTGTGCAGTTAGTTATTGAATCACACTCTTAGAAGTAAATCGCTTGATGTTGTCCGCAAAGCAGGATCAAAGCTTTTCAAAAATTTTCAGGATATCATGAGCTAACCAACATTGAACACGTTCGAATCAGCTGTTTAACATACGACACAAAAAAAATTAGTTGCTTCGAGCGGTTTAAATTCTTTAGCTACGAAATTTCCCTCATTTATAGCTAATATTTGTTTGATAAAGCAAATATTGATAAAATGGGTGAAATGAATCCGAAGTTTGAATATGGTGCTGAAAAATAAGAATTATATGTGTCGTTACGGATTGGATCTTAGGAAATGAATTGCTTTTTTTTTTATCGCGAATTGCTTGTTCGATTCAAGTGTTAGAATAGAATTAACATGATCCTAGCTGCATTCATAGTTAGGAAACAACTATATGACAAATATTATGGTAATTCTAATTCATTTATCAATCTTATTAAGCTTATTCATGTTTGGAACCCTCATTGAGAAATATAGCATGAGTCATTGCAATTGAAAGAGAAGATGGCTATTTATGTGTTTCATCTGGAGCAGCCGAATGCCTGTTTTGCAGAAAGTAACACTAAATATTCACATTTGAAGGATAACTTTAGTCTTGTGGTCTAATGGAATTTTACGATAGGATCGCTTTCCATGTTTCAATGGTATTGGCGAGATACGCGGTCAATAAGCAAACACGTTAACATTGCAGTGCTACAAAATTTTTTTTCATGAAGAAAGCGGTTTTTTCTAATAATTTCATGATGACTACCCAGCATATCTCAACTTAAAGTATAGGTGAAAAAAACAGCAGAGCACTTACCAAAGTCGGTCAATTAGCCTAATTTTCACTCCGATGATATATATATATACATACTCTGTATATGAGCGGCAAAGTAGCTCAGTGACAGCAGCGTAACGTATCGCGCACTACCCGATGCTCAAATTGTGTTTTCTATTTACAGATTGAAGATCCATACCGATGGATGGAAGACCCTGACGCCGCCGAGACTAAGGCTTTTATTGAAGCCCAGAATGAGATCACGAAGGAATACCTACAGGATTGTCCCTACCGGGACCAGATACGGCAAAAGCTTACTGAGCTCTGGAATTACCCTAAGTGCACTACTCCGTACAGGAGAGGCAACTATTATTACTACTATCATAATGATGGACTACAAAATCAGTATGTATTATACCGTAAAAAGCAACTCAATGCTCAGCCGGAAGTATTTGTCGATCCCAACCTGTTGTCTGAAGACGGCACAATCTCGTTAGGAGAAACTGCTTTCTCGGAGGAGGGTACGTACTTCTGCTACGGCCAATCAGAACAAGGATCTGACTGGGCGACACTCTACATCAAAGACGTGAAAACTAAAAAAGATCTCCCGGAGAAACTAGAGAGGTTTCGCTACTCTTGTGTGGCCTGGACCAAGGACGACAAAGGATTCTTCTACGGACAATTTCCCGATTTCACAGGTGGATTTTATTAAAATAATGTAAAAATATAATAAAAATAATTAAAATAAAATAAAAATAATGTAGCAAATATGTATCGGAACTACCAATTCTATTGCCTGTATCGAAATTACCAATTCTATTGCCATTGTTTTAACTTCCCGTTTTAAGTTCCCGAAATATTTGCTATCCTAAATAAACAATGGGTAAAAAAGCGTTTATAGACGTCGCACTTTCAGATTGTTCTTGAAAAGAGTAAAACAGGCAAGAGTAATCCATAATTTCATGTCGAAACGAATTTTCCATAATTTCATGTAGAAACGAATTTTTTACATGTATTCAGGAAAGATGTCTGGGACGGAAGCCAAGGTTGCTGAAAACCAGAAGTTGTTCTATCATCGTTTATACACGTCACAAGAAGAGGACTTACTTTGCGTTGAGTTTCCTGAACAACCACAGTGGTTGATGTCGCCCTCGGTGTCAGAGTGTGGCAAATACCTCATTCTTACCGTCAGCGAATCATGCAAGGATAACCAGATATATGTTGCCGATATTTCCGCGGGTGTCAACGGGGTCGTGGATCTCACATGTGTTTATGGGACGTTCGACTGCACCTTCGAGTATATCACTAACGATAACAGTATTTTCTATTTTCGCACGAATAAGAATCGACCAAATTACGGTGTTATTAAGTTGGACATCAAGAAGCCAGATGAATGGTTAGATGTGGTTCCAAACCACGAAAAGGATGTAATCGACTGGGTGGACTGTGCAGATGGAAATAAACTTATTGTCGCCTATATGAAAGATGTGGTTAGTGTGATCAATGTCCATGAGCTTCAAAGTGGGAAGTTCCTGCAAACACTTCCTTTCGATGTTGGTACTATTGAAGGAATGTCAGGCAAACGAAAATACTCCGAGACCTTCTTTAAATTCGAATCGTTCAACACGCCCGGCATCATCTATCGATGCGAAATTGACAAGGCGCCAAAAGCCTGTCTGGAAGAGCAAAATCGACTCAAGCTCACTGGCCTGTTGACAACTGACGACCCTGTTGTCAAGCAAGTTTTCTATGAAAGTAAGGATGGCACGAAAGTGCCTATGTTTATTTTGCGTGACAAGGACGCTCGCCTCGATGGAAACTCCCCATGCCTTTTGTACGTGTACGGCGGGTTCAATTCTGCTATACAGCCATATTTCTCGGTGTTCCGGATGATGCTGGTGAAAGTACTGGGCTTTACGGTAGCCGTTGCTAATGTCAGGGGAGGCGGTGAATACGGCGAAAAGTGGCATAATGCAGGCAGGTTGAAGAACAAGCAAAACACGTTCGATGATGTACATGCCGCGGCAAAATACCTTGCGGATAATGGCTACACGAAAAGTAGTCGACTAGTACTGATGGGTGCTTCCAACGGCGGAATGGTTACGGCAGTTTGTATCAATCAACGACCAGAGCTTTTCGGTGCCGCTGTCGCAATGGTGCCGGTTACGGATATGTTTCGCTTCCACAAGTTTACTGTCGGCGCTCATTGGGCCTCGGATTACGGGAATCCCGACGTGGCTAGCGATTTTGATGTTCAATTTGCTTACTCGCCTCTTCACAATATACCGACAAACGTTGAGAACTATCCGGCCCTTTTAGTGACGACAGCGGACCATGACGATCGAGTAGTGCCGTCGCATTCATTGAAGTACATAGCTGAAATTCAACATCGGCTAGGGGCTAAAAACAAGAATCCCCTCTTGGCCTTCATCGGCACTAAGGCTGGTCACGGCGGGGGCAAACCGACGACAAAAATTATCGAAGAGCTGGTTAATATCACATGCTTCTTATACAAACAGTTAGACCTGAAGTATAGCAAATAAAACTCTGATCTGCTGTATTCAGTTGAAAAATGCATTAGGGAGATGCTGTCTAAAAGAAACGGCAGTTTCAAAAAAATGACAACCAGTTATGGATCAATGCTTCCTATCGGTTTCAATGTGATTAATATGGAGGAACTCAGTATTTAACATGACAAATAATCTATAACAATTATGAAATTGTTGATTCAAAAATTACAATGCGTACTATTTTTTGAGTGATTTTTTAGTGCTGCCATTGTTTAGTGAAACAGATGCGTAAAATCGAAAGATACCGTATTTAGTGCTGCCATTGCTTAGTGAAACCGATGCATAAAAAGTGCTGCCATATTGCTTAGTGAAACCGATGCGTAAAATCAAAAATAGGTTAGTTGAAGACCCTGTGGAGCTGTTGAAGACCCTATGGAGCTATTCAAAGCCGTTGAAGACCCTGTGGAGGTGTTGAAGACCATATGGAGCTATTCAAAGCCGTTGTTCGTCAATCTTTAACTGTATGTTACATGTTGTATGTACGCATGCACATCGGTATATATTTAAAATTCTTTGAAGTCTTTGACTAGCCCCACATGTACAATACAATTTTGTAAAAGTCGTATTTACTATATATTCGGGTTTTTATTTTCGTAATAGTAGTAACAGTCATAATTACAGTTAGTAAAATTATAAAAAAACATCTTGTAGACAACCCAGATTATTACATCGGGGCACTCATATATTTTACACAGTGATACACATACGTGATTACGTGATTCGTCTGTTCTTTATAGTCTAAACAGCTAACCAGTTCTTGAGTATAACAGCAAGCACAACGATAGACAGCGTACTTAACGCAAGTGGAAGTGCGATGTTGATGTCCCTTGGAATTTTCTCCTCCTCATCATCATTAACCCTGCGTTTTCGTTTTTTCTTCCGGTCCCCAAGAACTCGTTCTAACTTGCACGCATTTCGTTCAGCTTCCTGTTTGGCAATACGCTCCTCGTCGACAAGACGCTTCTCACTTACGATGCGCTTGCACTCCCCGTCGCATTTGAGCTTAGTCGTTTTACCTTCGCCGCCCGCACAATCCACCTCTTGTTTGATTCGTTTACAGGTGCAGTAAACTGTCACTTTTTTCTTGCAGTTCTGCGCCTCAGGACATCGGTCCGGATGACACTTTAGAAAGCAGCGATGTCCACAGTCGAGATTGCGGCCGCAACGCTGCCCACACGACTTCGACGCCTCTCGCACATCATCTGGCAGGGCACACCATTCTTTACAGGGCTTTACCGTTGTCGAATTTCCACAGTAACATCGAAACTGTACATACTGATTGCATGGGGCACAGTCACCTGAGTGACAGTGCTTGCCACACAAATGTATACAATCTTTTGGACGTCCTTTTGTTGGGCATCTCTGGCCGCAGTCTAGAGCGCAATTAAAGCCAGCAAGATGCGGCTCTCGGGGGTCGATGACTTCGTGACACTGAAGGGTACACGTGTGGTTTCCGCACGGCAGAAGTCGACCGCACAATCTCCCACATGATTGAAGTTTTGCCGCATGACAGGGTAACTCCGCAACTCCATGCCCTCCAAGACAGTCAACTGCAACGAGAACGTTACATGGAGCGCATGGCTTATTAACAAGGTCCCAGTAAGGTAGTGGCTGAGGCTCCCATGGACCTCTAGGCTTCTCCTTAGATACGACTTTCGTCAATACTGCGCTATGACACTTCTCTGGGCAGTTATGGCCGCACGCAAGCGTTTTATCGCAGACGATAGCACAGGAAGGACAACGTCCGCTATGGCAATAATGCTTCGAGCGTTTTGGATGGTGACAGTCTGGAGGATGCTCACAAAGCTCGCGGCATACTACTCGGGCATCCTTCATATTTGTTCCACACGGAAACGTCCCAGTAGTTTTGCCACACGGACAGGTCTTGTGTTTCTGTTCACGGCACGGATAACATGGGCCTCGATGACAAACAGACTGACATTTGTGATTTCCACACTGAAGCTTACGGTTGCAGAGAACTGTACATGGTGGACACTCTTCACTAGGCGGACAGCATTTCCGATTGCAGATATGGCCGCATGGTTTTTGACGACCGCACTTTGAGTCGCATGTAAAATCTTTCCCACACTGCAGCTGACGATTTTTGGCGCCACAACGGCACGACTTCGTTACAAGTTCAGAACATGTGGGGCAATCATTTTCGTGACATCGTTCCCAGCAACGGTGCATACCACAGCTAAGCATCTTTTCGCATGTGTTGAGACAGGTAGGAACCTTCAGTTGTGTACAGCTAAGGTCGATGTGTTTCGTCCGCCCACAAGGACATGAACGAGGTCTCGATTGAGGGCAGACACCGCAGTCGCCCTCTTTGTGACACATCTCTTGACATTCATGGTTACCACAGTTGAGCTGGCGCCGGCAGATTTTCTGACATTTCCATACCCCTTCTTGGCAGCGAACTTTCATCGTTTTACTTCCACAATTACATTTCCGGATGCTCTCGACGCTACACGGTGGACACGGGCCGGCATGACACTTTTGAGGGCATTGATGTAATCCACACGCTAAAAGTTGGCCACAGGACGCAAGGCACGACCATTGCTTTTGCGAACACCGTCGTATAGTTGATGTTTTCTTACAAAAACAGGATGCCTGTATTGTTTTAGGGCAAGCAGGACATGCACCCGGGTGACAAAGAAGGGTGCAGTGATGACCGCATTTTGGTCGCAGATCGCGCCCACATATAGAGCCACATGAGTGGGGACAAATCCTGTAAATGAGAGCCGCTTATGAGATCAAACATTCCCAATTTGTGTAGAGTAGTACAAAGTAGGGAACTGCACGTCCTTCACAGAATAATTAGTTTTGTCCATTTATGGCAGCCAAATCAACTTATCCTGGACATATACAGGATATGTCCTTAAATATGTATATATATATATATATATATATATATTCCAAACCCACAATGAGCTAAGAATCATAGATTCTTAATACCGTTTTTCTGATAAAGGTGGTAAATAAAAAGAGATATATTACTAAGATACTAGATATATTAGTTTAATTAGTCTAATTCCCCACGATAGAGGTTCATAGAAAAAAACAACAAACTAAAAATAAATCTACGGTTTTTAAGATAACTGCAAGCTATTTTCTACGAGCACGATAATATTCTCACAGCTTTTCGCAGTACAGACCATTTATCGAATTTCGGATCACGTTCTTTTCCACAGAAGCATTCATAATGGTTAGACACAGTGTGATAGTCCGCTCTGCAATTAGGACAGGACCATGCCTCTCTGGTGGAGACATTTTCTCCAGGCTTTGCTTGTGGATACAAAGAATCTTTGGCCCATTTATTTACGCAGTCAAGATGCAAGATCTGATAACAACTGGTACAACTCCACGTTGCTTCCTGATGTCGAACGTTCTCAATGCAAATGACACACGTAATGCTCCCTGCACGTTTGATGAAATCAAATCAGTAGAACATAAACTGTTTATTAGCAACGGTCGCGTACTAGCAAATAAAAATTGTATACCCACACGTGGCATCCCAGCAGATTTGTGTAGTTATTGCTCTATCCGCTAACTCTATATAACGCATATACTCTTGCTGTGCCTAAGAGAACAAACTAAATGCCTACCTGCAAGCAGCGCCGACATAATATCCCGACTGTTTTCTTTTTCTCCAGCGTATCCTTGAGTAATTCTGTCAAGAATTGCATTACGTTCGATATCTTCGTCCGGTTCGGCTTCATGAATCTCATAGAGGTCTTTCATCTTTTCCAGTTGAAGGCGAGTCTGTTCTTGTATTATAGCGCATGCCCGTTCAAACTGGACGTTTGAGGAGTCAAGCTCTGTTGGCTGTCGTGATGCTGTCTTCTGCGCCATTCTGAAAGGACAATAAGAACATTGTAATCAATCAAATGTAACATGTAGAGGCCTAAATTAGACATTTTTTGTCCTATGAATCAAGAAAATGAAGTGAAATCGACAGCCAATGTCGATCGATTCTTTTTAGTATAATAATATCAATACTACTGACACATATTGTTATTAATGCTAAGCTAGTCGTAGTTATAGGGTTACGCGTTCCCCCCAGGAAAGCTGTGATTTTCGCTCTGATGTTATCTGTTAGGCTTTTCTTTAATCCGTTGTTGATTCATTTTGCCCCAACATGTAATGACTGGAAGCCGAATTATTAGAAACATGCAAATTAAATGAGCCTATGATCGAAGTTTGTACATTTCATGCTAATGTATTATGTAACCCACACTAGAAGTACCTGTAACCGCCGCGTCCTATACTAAAGGCTCGCATTTCGTTTCTTATCGCTGTTAATAGGGCCCTCGAGTTATTTTCGCTGTGGATTAAATGGCTCCAACGCAACTTACACCCATTTCTGTATGAACGCTTTGCTTGAAATGCCATTGAGGGCGTCGTTTCGTTTCTGGTTTAGTCCGACTAATATTGTGTAACTTAATGTGTATGTGTGTGTGTTAACCAAATTCGTCTGCAGTCCAATGCAGATGTATCTCATTATCAGAAGGCTTCGCCTTAGCATCTGGTATTCTCTTTTGCATGCGACTTCGCCTACGCACCACAGGCGTAGGATGATGAGACTGGACGATAAAGCGAAGGTAGTTGCTGTGCAATGGCCTTTGCAGAAAGACCAGAAAGAGTAGCCTGATTTTATCTTTCGTCGAGATTGGCATTGACAGAACACTTCCTAAGAGTTTTGGCTATCTGCCATTTGCCATCCATGTCTAGGGTCTCTTAAGAGAAAATGAACATACAAGAGTTGCACGGAGGACTCATGTAACTCTACGAAGTTCCGTGGCGTGTTGAAGAAAGAAATTTGTTTGATGCTTTGCAGAATGCTTCATTCTCACGATTAATCTGAAACCGTTCGTTTATCAAAGTTGGCTCGATCATTCATGGCAGATTTCTGCTGTCCCTAAGACGTCCAGTTCCAAATAGTCTGTGAAAATTCGTGTCTATAAGTACATCCGAATACTATAAAACAGTAACCTCCTGCTTTTTCTTCAACAATTGCTCATACGGCGCGCTGTAAATTTATTGCAGTACCTGAACGCTACGCTAAATGTTGCATACTTTTACAAGAATAGCTATCTTTAACGACAATCTCCCTTAGCATGCGATATGGCGATCGCGCTGGAGCTCATGTTTCATTCAGAAATCTCTGTAGATTATGCTAAATGAGCTAGGTCTCCATAAACACTTTGTAAAAGGAAAGAATCTCGTTGTGTATCGAAGTTTCGGCCAGCCTTTAGCCAAAGCAGATGGTTGAAGTTTAAATGGAGAAAAGTAGTTTGGAAGATGCTACCAACCTTTATATTCTGTTGCTTAAACGCCCTCCTGTGAACATTTTTAAACCTCCTCCTGTAGGCTCATCCCGCATGTGTCTAAAAGTTAGGTCAAACAGTATACTAAACGCAAAACAGCACTTCTCGGTACTGTACGTTTTGCGGTTTGCCAAAGGAACCAGATGTTAACTACAGATTATAACACCTTATCAGAATAGTAATAGTCTCATACTGAGAAAACCCACCAGCCGTGCAGCGTCATCAGTAAAAATAATGGCAAGGAAAGTACACCTCTGATGCGACGCACAACCTCCTTGATATTATCGAACTGTTCCCGAATTTAATTTTAAGTTGATTTTCACGTTCGGTTTTTTACAATGAAAGAAGGATTAAATGTATTTGTTTGATGTTCACACTCACTCGTTCGTTGTTCCTTGTTCCGTAGATTCCTGCGTTCGTCGATACAGGACCGTTCTCGAAGTGCCCATCGCCAGTTCGCTAAAAGCTGTTGGTTTCCTTTTCTTACCCATGCTAACAAATTAAATGAACTTGTTAAGCCATTTGATTAGCGCAAACCAATTCACTGTATTTCGTAGGTAGAACTGCAAAGCTGAAATTTGGTTCCATTATTGCTAAACTGTAGCGTTTAAACAACAGAAAATGTAAGTAACAGCGACGGCCAGCAGCATTCCCCTATCGTGCGTACTGAATCACAGTAATCTCTACATGATAGCATGGTGGGTTACACGTTGGCTTGCTGATCTAAATTTAAATCCGACTGACATACTTAATTACATGTTGGCAGGCGTCAGCTGTCTAAAGTCGTGACCGGTTAGCATTTTGATTATCAGACGTAATGCATGAAAAATATTTCCAGATAAAACAATCATTAAGCTGTCTTTAGATGCCATTGTGGCGTTCTAAGCGTAGTACTATGAAATACATATTATTATGTATATTAGATATATATAATAGGTATTCTACGCAAGGAAATAAGCATATAATAAAACAGGTATACATTTACATTTGAGTTACAATTTTCCTGACATCTCAGCTTCACTCTGACGCACATTACGTACCACTTGATCGAGAGCAATGATAAATAAGCAAATAATTATTCATTTTGAAACTCAAAAGCTCTTATAGACATGTATAACATTTATCTGCAGCAATAATTTTAATAATAAGAGAGTTTAACAGACACACTTGATATTCAACATCTGACGATAACTTTGGCGTCGTCTAAGTACAAACCACCTACGATGTAAAACACTACTGGTGGATATCTTATTGATAATACGTTAGTTAATAAGTTTTACCAAACGTTGCCGCTCCAGTATACCTAGGATAAGGTGAACATTTAGACCGCTTCTTTCATGGCTCACGTAACAGTCCCGTACAGCTTTTTCATCATTGACCAACAGTGTCGACGCGGTGCGATATCTGAATCGTGGTGTTAGCAGGGGTAGCTGTCGCGGAAGCCGTTATGCAACTTACTTATAAAGACTTCACCGGAAGGCGAGTAACCATCGCGACTTTTAACGTGACTCAGGTTGCCAGCAGCAATAGCAGTGAACAATGAGGTTTATATAAGAGGACGCGGCTTTCATCCGATAAAAAGTACTCATAAATCCGTAAACACCGTCAGTTTAATACTGATCATGGCTGTTGTAATTTCGGTAGTTTTCTAAGATCCGGTCAAAGTGTAATTTCAGATTTTCGAACGAATCGAAATCGAACGCAATGAATGGATTCTGGTTTGAACTACACGATCGGATATCGTCTTAGCTAACATTGTTAACAGACGAACTTCCCCCATGTGGCAAGGGTGAGCTTTTAGCCACGTCAGACCGTCTAACTACATGATGCTGTAAAGAGTGAGCAAGTTAATGAACTGACTTGTCTCTTTATTTTGATTTAATTACCTAGAGCATCGCCTTTTCAGACTGTTTTAAATATTCGAAAAATAGCTGACTAGCTGTTTTCTATAATAACTCTGAGTAAAGAAAGCTCAATTTTGTCGCACATAAAATAATAGGTGAATTAACTGTATAATAATGGTGCACTGCGTGTATTTACTCAGAACGTTCTGCTGTGTATTTTTTTGCAAGCAACAAGATTTCCTTTTGAGGTTTAGTTCAGTTGCTTAGTCAGTTGAAGGCATAACTAGAAGGATCCGCTTGACTAAATTGTCTTACTATACAAAAAGAGTTAATTGTCTCTAAACCGAATGTTCAAGTTGATTAAGTCATAGGAGTTGCATTGAAATGGCATAGCACTATAAAATGGTATTAGCAAACCTAGTTTAATTAACTTGCTGGCACGTTTGCAAGGCAAAGGTATCGCTTTAACCAGATCAACCAATTAACTAGCAATCTGCGAATGGCGTTGAAAAAACCTTAAGCCAACTGCCAAAAAGGTGCTTAAGGCCTGCCAAAAGGGTGGAACAACTAAGACTATAGGATCAATTAATAGTATATTTCTAATTTTTGTCTGACAAAAACCAATTTGTATATGTAATGGTAAACACATTTAAAATGTCGTATAAAGCATATCAATAACTAGTTATTTGGTTGCACACTCTTGTTACCTATAATCGTCATTATGATAAAATTAGTAATACTGAAATACTAACCTTCCTTTTTTCGGTTTTCGTCATACCGTTTGTCTGCCTTAATCGCCTGTACAAACAGCTCTTTCTCGTGTCCGGAAACAAACGTGAAAAAAACGATTCTTGATTATGATTACATTGCCGTTAAGTTTAATTATTCCGACCATATGCATCGCTTTCTAAACTATTGGAAACTCCTACTCTCATACCTTCATTTAACTGAAATTTTCTGAATGTTGTAGTTTTAAAATGCGTTTTTTGGGCGGCGTATCTGTCTTGATGATGCTTTTCGTATTCGTAGTGTTTGAAAAGAGCCTGCGCTGGCGCGTCATCATCATGTTTGTTTTCGACCTCCGAAACGGCTACAATTGCGTATATGTTTCATGCTGGTGATACTGTTTTGTTGTGTTTTGATACGTTACCGCCGTTTAGCCTCATCCCGCCATTGAGAGTCATCTCTCTAGTGTGTTGCAATATTTCAATTGGATTCTGCAAGCGTTGAGCAGATGCGCCTCACGCACGTTACTGCATTTCTTCTCTATTTCTTGAAACCAGAGGAAGCATTAACTGAAAAACAATAGTCTACGAGCCAATGAATAAAGTATTAAACTAAACATCGCTATCAAAGCCGTGTGTGTAACTCGTTTCTTCATCGAACCATTGTCTGGAATCACATTACATTACGTCGCACTTAGGTAGCTGACAGGTTGCGCCTATTAAGTGATGGCTCTACCGGCAAATCAATTAAAAAAGTGTCCAACGGATCAATGGTCAGTTCGGGAGAAGTTGGCATTAGCGTCGTCTGTCGAGCGAACCCGGGACCAGAACTGGGTTTCCGTGAGCCGGCAAATCAAATCGTTCGCTGAACCAAATCGGCCACCGGACTGGTTTTCGCAGAAGAATTGTGCGTTACAATATGGATACCTACTGGAGAATGTCGAGCATCCGAAGAGAAAACGCGGTGAAGATATTGCCACTCCCGGTATATAGGATGTCTTTCTTCTTTTTCTCTTTCTTTTCTTTGTTATAATACAAAACAGAAGTAAATATTTTGTTATACAAAATAATTGGTAGAATTGGCTATAGTATGCACTATGCTCGAGAGAGAAATTATCGTAGTTCTCTCAGTTCGTTCCAACATTAAAAAATAACTTCTGTTATCAATAACTTTATCAAATCGACCAATACGCTTAGTATCAGGTATATGCCACAATTTTGTTTAAATTTCTACGAGGACTCCATAATTGTATCACGTTATCTTATTATTATGATTATAATTTTCCGTTTATAACTACTAAATAGATATGAGGCTAGATCGAGGAGTGTTGTATAAGTCAGTGTTCTTTTATTGATTCACTCTCAGAAGTTATTGGGGTTATTGTTATCAACAATAACTTATGCGCGTTAGTTTCACCTGTCACATTAACTCCGTTTAGCACCGATGAGCACAAAAAAAGAAATTCAATTACAAGCATAAAATTTTTGGGCTATATTTCTTAACTAAGTCAGTGCATTGCTTACAGAAATCAAGAGTGCGATGGGTTTGTATTTGCTCTCTGTATAATTGCATGTGCGCAGCTTTGAATATAATTGTCAACAATTAAAGATTACTAAATATATACAATGTAGGACATTTTATGCGGTGATGAAAAAACCTTAAAGGACATTTTTGGTACGAGCTGTTATAGAATATTAAACTCGGAAAGACGGATCTGTGTCGTGACAGAGACAATTTCTTGTTATAACGGTCGTATAGACATGTTTTGAATCTATCTGTTTGAAAATTCTACGTAAATATTGGATGGCTTGAAAAGTTATACCAGAAAACAATGTGAAAACAGCAGTATTTTTAAAAATTTTTAACTACTTGAGGAAAACACCATACTCCATGACAGAAAATGAAAGAAACTTTAAAAAAAAATTAAGTCTAATTGTTTGTCCAATGTGCGAAACTTCATAAATGAACACCTCGACAGGTTGATGTTTCACAGACACTCAGCCACTCAGAAAAAGTGCCCAAAGTAATTCATTCGTAACTCACGATCGAGTCAGTTAGAAAGTTTTTTATATTTCCTAGTTTCAAATCGATTTTCCCCAGATCTGAGACCACTTTGACGAATATCAAGATTTTTTTTTATCTAAAGAATAAATTATATTTTCTTTAAATATGCGCTTTCTTCGCAAGAACTACTAGGAGACTTTAGGCTTCATTCTTTTTTTGACAATCTCATTTGTGCAGTTTGTATGGCAGAAACAGGTATTGAAACTAATTCAGGTTTTTTTCAAACTAAAACTGCTTTATTTGGCAACGTTTTTTCGGTTAGCTTCTGGTATGCTCATGTCGCGGAATTTTTAGGGCATCTTTTTAGCTGGTGTCAAGGCCATTAAGTGAATCTAGAAAAAAATGTATAATCCAAAATGGATGAAAATAGGCTTTGGTCGTCCAATCATGGGTCGCCTAAATGGCATATTAGATCAATTTTCGCGTTTATGTAAATTCCACGGCTGAGTTACAAATAGTTATTTACTAATATATATCTATCTACTAATATATATTCTACTGGTTGTATTAAAAATGCTCCGTTATGACTTTGATAGGGTTTCTCCACACTTTAAAGTATTCTAAGTAGACTATTAGTTTTTAAACGTTACTAAAATATTATAAATAAAATTTATGCAAGGGCTAGTTACAAAAGGATAATAATTATTTGTAATATGATTCTATTCCACCAAGGTTCGCTTATAGTGAAGAAGCTTGCTCAGGAACGAATTGCGGAACTGGAAAAGCTCGTTCTTGAAGGATATGCTCGCCATCAAAAGCTACGAAAAGAGCTTGATCTCATTACGGCCGGAAAGATGGATGACAAAATCGACGAACTTATTGACGAATTAAATAAACAAGCAGAGGAAAAATTGCGGCAAGAATCCGTTCATCAGAAATGGCTCAAGGACAGAGAGGTAGGTAGCATTTAAATTGAATAATATTTAATAACATTTGCTATTTTCCTATTTCGTATCAAGTACTTTGTTCATAAACTTATCTCGTGAAATTGTGAATATGTTATATATGGTTGTGAGTGTGTTATGATACCGTAGTTTCACTAAAACATTGTGGCTCCGTTTGCTGCCAGTTTTGCTTTAAGTTTGCATATTGTTGTATTAGCGAGACGTTTATCGTAATATATTTTGCATAATTAAGCACAATAATATATTATAATATTCTATATATCATAATAATATTATTACACAACCGGAAATACTTCATCGAGACCTATAGGCTCAATTGAGTACTGTTCAGCTATGTTGACTGATGTGGATATATAAGGAACGATTTTTTCATATAGACAAGGTGCTTGGTCTGGATTGTGTTCGAGCAGTGCATTATGCCGATCAGAATTGTCTTAGAATATTTGATACGTTATTGACAACAACAATATGTGATATAATAAAAATACGGTACCTTAGTTTAATTCGACATGCATACGTAGGTCGTACATGAGTTTCTACTAATTTGAGCTGTATTTTAGGGCCACTTGATTCCATTATTTTCTATGTTAAATTAGCATCGATGACATCCGGTTTTGAACACGGTCGAAATGCGGAGCAGCTTTACCCTTTCTTATATATACATATGTACAAAATGGCACGTTTATATTAAGAGTTTCTATTACATTTTATTTTCGGACCGTATTTAAACGAGGAGATATTTGAACATAATATTTTGCATATGCTTAAAGTGGCATTCCTGACGGTCACACTTACTCAGGAAAACCTCAAAAACAGCTTTAGTTCGGAATTTATACCAGCTAGTCATTTTAAAAATATACTTTTACATTCCTTAATAACTTCTTAATAGTATCGTGCGTTGAGTAATATTAGTAGGCGTAAACCCGTTTAGGTGTCGTTTAAATGTACTACAAATTCTTTTCAAATTTCAAATGAAATCAAGTTTCGGGCCAACCGAAGATCCTAAAACTACACAAGTTGAAATAATTAAAAAATTTAAAAGGTAAAAAAGCTACAGAAAATCTTAGAAAGATTCACCATTTAAGCTTATCTGAAAAACCTGATTGGCAATTGATATTGTTCTTTTAAAATAGCCCATTATTTCGGTATTAAAACAAAAACGGATCAGTTTGGATGGCTTTTCAAGTTTTTTGAATATGAACTCTACCGCAGTTTCTTGAGTTTGCCCGCTGAATGTCTTCCACACATTTTTTAGACATCGCAGAGAAACTAGCAATACCTTAGACCGCCAATTTCAGCCAAAAAAGGAAGCTTTTAATCATAAGGGTGTTTGTCTAGTGCCGAAAGATTTGATAACAGCGGGTTTGATTACTGAGTGTCATGACGACTTAATCGTTTTCTTTCATATAATTTTTGTGTAATACGTGGAAGTGGCAAACAAGCGCATACCCGTTATGCCAAATAGCCCGCTAAAGTTTTTCCCAATTTGAATGCACTACTTCGTAAACGTAGTGTTTTAATAGATACTAATGCAATTTCACAGATGTTTCGAGGAGGTGGTTCATTCTTAATCGGCATGTACAAGGAAAAACGCCGGCTTACATTTTGTGATGTTTGGTCTTTTCACCTATGTATTTAGATGGAAGCTGAACGGCAACGGCAATTGCGTTTACATATGTTGGCCGCCCAGAAGACGAAGAAACAGACGCGAACAATTAGCGACAATTCTGACTCGATGCAATCGGATGACTCAAATCTTCCCGGACACTCCCTTGTGGCCCCTGAAAGCCCTTTACCTCCCCAGCCTCCGGCCGCTTCGTCGTTGCTCACTTCACTGTTGCGCTCCCCGAACGATTCTCCAAACCAAAGCCCACGAACTTCTCACGGTCCTGGGCCGTTGTCCATAACCCATGCGCCATCTCAATCAGTTCCTGTATTATTACTGCCGCAGCCTCTGACGCATGGACAACGCTCGCAGAGTACGGATTCCCAACAGTCTGGACCCGGAACTCCGGTACACACTCCAACAACGTCGCAAGCGCCGACCCTTTCCAAACTTCTCGAGCAGCCGCCTGGATCAGCCTCATCAATTTCGACGGAAGACAAGAAGCCAGTAGTCGCTATCAAAACCGAAGTGGTAACCGAAATCAAGCAGGAAATCATTGAAGATTCTGTACAGGCTACTAAATTAACGGAAACCATGCAGGCAATTTCTGAGCCAAAAACCGAAGAACAGCTCCAGCAGTCAAAACAGCAGCCACAAGTACCGTCACAACAGCAACAATTGCAGCAACAACATCAGCAGCAGCAGCAGCAACAACATCGGCAGCAGCAGCAGCAGCAGCAACAGCAACAACAACAGCAACAACAACAGCAGCAACAACAGCAGCAGCAGCAACAACAGCATCAACAACAACAACAGAATCAACAGCAAGAGCAACAGCTGCAGGAACAGCAATGCACAACGACAGACAGATTGCTCGAGGATGCCCTCTCCGTAATGAATGACGTGGCTAATGGTGGCCAGCCAACGCTGGAGGCTGCGGCCGTCGAGGAAGTGCCGGATTCTGAAATCGTTTCGTACATCGATGAAATGCGGCAGGACATGGAACAGGGAAAGGTGCAGGCGAACGCAGAGGAACAGCAGCAAAAGCAAATGATTGCAGCTCAGCTTCGCCAGAGTGCCGAGGAAGTTGTGGCGACCAAGAGTGAGCCGGACATAGTTCCGCCCGATGCGCCACTTCCGACGCAAATAAAACAGGAACCAGTCGAGGCAGTTGAAGAACGCCAGCCACCGCCAGCTCCAATGGACAACCAGGAGACAACTCAGAAACTTGTTTCTGCTGAGATTCAAATTCAGCCAACACCGCCGCAGTGTTCTAAGCCACCTTCGAGAGAGTCTACCCCTGTCTCGTCAAAAGCGCCCTCGCCGACAGCATCGCCAGCTCGCACCCAGCCATCAGCATCCGCCACAGTAGCTTTAACAGTAAAGCCAACTTCAGCTGTGTCTAAGACTTCACCTGCCAAAGAAAAAGAACACACTTCTCTAATAAATGAGAAGGAACGAGCCAAGATGAGTATTAGGATCCCTACAGGTACAGTGGCTAAAGAAAGGATATCTACTCCACCGCCGAAAACGCCGACGAAACTTCGTGAGTCCTTAACTACGCTAAAACCTCGTGAGCCAGAAAGTACACCCTCTAAGGTGCCACAGTCGCCTAGGTTGACACCTACGAAGACAATTAAAAAGGTATTACCAAAAGATTTTCAAATCGACCACCACGCAGCTAGTTGTTTATCAAATATTTTCTATTGTTTTGGCATTCGCTAACGCGAACTAGCATAGCCCAGTTCAGCTCTAGTCGATGATGATGATGCAGACCGGTTTTGTTACGATCACCAGTCCGTCAGGACACATAACGTTATTTTGAGAGCCAGAAGTAAGCGGGCGTTTTAAAACAGACTTATTATTTGCGTGTCCAGATTAATTCTGGGTTAAATTGCTTTTTGCTTGCAACACATTTGGCTCTAAGGTCTGTTCACATATGTAAACGGAACACATAATTGAACGGAAATATATAATTTGTAGTATATTATACTTAAAGCCCCGCCAACCGAATGTATTATACCACACTTATGAGTGAACCATATTATTAAAACGATCGATATTAATACTAAAGCGATCCGTCTTTTTACCTTATAGAACGACGACGATACGTCGTCGACAACAGGGTCTGCACCAGCAGGAGTCACTACTGCTGTACCGTCTATGTCCAGTACCGAAACGGCTGTGACTACTAACAGCGTCAGTGAAGAACGAAATGAAGATACGGATGACAAAAGCCAATGTTCTAGCAATACGAATGCCGGTGATGAAGCAGCATCAGGATTGGATAGTCAAGAGACGGAAAGTCGTGAAGATAGCGTTGATGATAACAGTCCTTCCGCAGCCAATAACGCCGAAGAAGAAACCCGCGAGGAGGAAGTTGCGATTGACAGCAACAACAAAGAAAGCAAAGAACCGGTTGTCGTCGTCGCGCTCTCGGAAAAAGAGAGAGCGGACGACGTTAAGAATGCAAGAGATGAAACTTCAAATATTGTTGAAGAGGAAGTTGTCGACGAAATGATTGAAGAAGAGGTCTCAGAAGATGAAGATCTTGTTTCAGGAACGAACGCTGTGCCGGATGAACGTAATGTTACCGAGCAGGTTTTCAAAAGTAACAGGAGTAAGGACGCCGACGAAAAAGAGGACGACCCTAAAGACGACAATGGTGAGGAAAAATATGATTTCATTGCCTTTGAAGTCTCTCTTGTTTGAGGTGAACGATTGCCGGGAATGCTAATTTGTTTTGCTAAAGCGTTACCTCCTATAGACAGAAATAACATAACTTTATAAATTCCCACTACAACTGTTGCACGGATGTCGATGTCGAGTTGTTTTAACGCTTTTGGAAACTACACATATGCAGAAAAAGTGAGATCATTTTCAAAACGAAATTAACGAAAACCAAATTTTTGTTGTTTGTATTTATACGGAAGCTCTGGGAAGCCCAGAAGATGAGGACGTGGAGCGCGCCGAAGAACGTGAGCGTGACCTTAAAATCTGGAAGAAGTCAGCTCTTTTAGTGTGGCGCACAGCGGCGAATCATTCGCATGCGGGTGTTTTTATGACGCCAGTTACTGATGAGATGGCCCCAGGTTATGCAGACATTGTCTATCGGCCCATTGACTTAACGGCAATTCGACGCGGCATCGAAACTGGCGCTATCCGTACCACGCTTGAATTGCTTCGGGATATGATGTTGATGTTCCAGAATGCCATTATGTACAACAGCGCCGATCATGATGTCTATCATAAAGCTATTGAGATGAGACTGGATGTAAGTGACAAAAAAAAGTTGTCCCTGGCTAAATTTTATATTGATTAATTGCGCGCGATACTGAGGGAATGATTTGCACTGGGTGGCTATGCCTTTTAGGGAAGAGCTGGTTCAAACCCCCTGATCGACAAAAACTTCGGCAGAAAATCGGACACAAATACAAAAAAGTATCAAATTTCGCCTAACGGAAAGCAAATCGACAAAAATAGTGGGTTGCTAAAGAAGTATCAACCGTTTGATTTTATACTTTAAAATGATAATACTGTACTACAGCATTTTGATTAACGACCATCTGTTGTTTTTCCGGTAATACCACCACTGTAGAGATTACGAGATTTCTGGACGAACAACTGTGATAGGTGACCTTTGCGTCAGTCCATTGGAATTAAATTTTAATACCAGAAATCTTAACCAATGAAAACTTCTGCAGAGACCGAAATAGATGATAGTCTAATGCTGTAATATCCAGATTATCTTGCTGATGCATATAGATTTTGCACCTAATTTTTCTTAATTTTTTCCGGGTATCTAAAAATTGATATGGTTTGGCATTGTTCTGAAACTAGCTGAAATATACGATTTTAAAACCAAAGTTAAGTAAACAATCACCGCTTTTTCGACAAGCTAACCCCACGCTACATATGTATGTTTTATCGCACATCTACATATGTAGTATTGTACAATATATAGTATGATAGTGTGCAGATAAAATAAAAGCCGGATCAATGTAAAGATGAAAACGTGATGCTCTATCTTCATATTTCAGGTAATTAAACAAATTGAGGAATGGATGGCCAATGAGGCCGCAGAAAGAGGCTCCGGAGGAAATTCCCCGTTGCTACTAGGGCTTGGAGCAGCCATTGGCGTCAAGCGAGCTGCTCGACATCGACATTCCGAAGGCCCGGAACAGCCGGCCAAAAAACCCCGTAGGTCTACGGGGGTCGGCGCGATGAAATGAATATAAAGCACATCACCGAATCTTGAATTGAGGAATTGAACTCTGAGCCAAAAGAGGACACTATATATTCAGACAGCTGATGCAAAGGCATGAAAGAATATCTTGCAATCCCGTGGCACGTGTATATAGGGTAGCAACTGAAGGAATAGGCTGGAAGGAATAAGAGCGACGTGTTTGAGTTAAAAGCTAACTTGAATCCTCTGAGCCACTCTAGGTTGCGAATTCGGGCTGCCAGCTGAAGACCGACCACGTCCAGTTAGTCGCCGCAGGGCTCATTAATTGGATTCGAAACGCCGCAGCAAGAAGCATTCAATTGAACGTTGTACGTTGATGTTTTGAAGAAGTTCCACACCCGATCACCTGCTCTACTAATCTGTATAGGCATGGACAAATAAAAAACTATGGAACTTTGCGACTACATTTCTAATGTGCGCGAATAGCAATGCTGAGCAGTACTATATAATTTAAAGATGGTTTTGTGTAACTCATTAATGACGATTGTCTACAAATCCTGCGTTTTCTGAACTACGCAAGCCTAATCAAATTTGTCAATGAATTCAGCTGCAATTTTTCTTTGTCGTAAATCGTTTGTGCTTCGCTGTAAATATTTATATCAAAACTATTTCGCCGGTCTCTCTAGCTTCATCTCGGAGTTGCGAGCTGGAAACGAAGCGCTTTTGATTTGTTTGATTTGATGATGATCACTAGAGTTACACTTTAACTGAACAGGTCTTTTTTAGTCTAGGTATTTTTGTTAAATGTAATGGTATATGGAATGTAGGCATTTTTGTATAATCAAAAAAGAGGTAATAAATGGCAGAAAGCAAACAAGATACTGGAAACATGACTATGAAATGAAAATGTGGAGGTCAAATATGTACGTGTGATTCTGCAAGGATAAGGTACGTTATTTGTATATTAAAGGCGCAAAACATTCAGAGTTAACTATAAATATTTCATAAACATTATAATAAAATAAATAAACGTACCGAGAATTATTCGTAAAAACGAGCATGCTGTATTCATTTTCGCTGCCGTTGAAATGACAAAGCCGACGCTATGGAAAAGTAAATACCAAATAGATTGGACGTTTGATAGTTGATTTCACGGAACTTGATTAGGGGTTAGATTAAGGGTTGAGGATGAGTAAGTATGATCGATTCGACAGTACATAGGTTACAATGATTAACCTACTTTTGTTAAGTTTGAAACCCATCCAGAGACATCACAGTTTAATCACAGTAATCTAATTAAAATAGGTTCTTTTTGGAAATAGGTTTAGTGTGCGGAACATTTGTCTGATACAATTTTAAATATGTATAGAAGGTTATGTTGACAAATAAACACACTACGCAGTGTATGGCCATACAATATGCTGCGCACATTTATTGGCATTATAAATAATGTACGCAGACGTGTGCGCTTATGTACTTTTATATCTTTATAAGATATATGTATTCGCTTATGAGGGTTTCCATTTTTTTTATATATACGCAAATATAAATAGGGTATGTCGCATCTCTAGATTTAGAACTTTCTTCATTGTAAGCCTATTCATGCTCCACCCTGTGTACAATATGCACATACTTTTACGGTCTTAAATGTCCTCTCATTGTTTATATTTTGTGCAGAAAAGCAATTAGTACGACAGTGATAATGAGGCATATTCATAACGACAGTTACTGTGAGCTTCGCAAATTCGCGACGACGATATATTAACGGAGTCAGTTACCCTGGCGAATATGCTTGGCGGTATTGGCCAGTTGCAAGATAACGGCTGAATATGCTTCTTCACATATTTTTTTTCGGCGCACCGTTGCAGAACCCTGGTCACAACCGATGTTCTTTGATATTTTTAGTGTGGGGCAATAATGACTAAAAAAATATTTAAGCAGATTAAATATATAACGGAGAATAGTTACTTCCACGACGTCCGCTGTGACTGGCGCTACTCCCGCCGCCCCCGCGGTATGGATGGATGGTGTGATGAGCTAGAAAAAAGCAAGACAAAATATACATAGAACAGGAATTAACTAGTTTTTTGGCTTCTCATATGTTTTCCATTCTGTATTCGCTTTTTCTGGGTTTTTTGCAGCTATGCATATATCCGTCCTCTGGACGGTAACTGACGGCAACAGTAAATTTTAGACTAAATTTTCGATGCCCGTAAAAATACGAATATCTACAAATTCGCCATAGTACTAATTCAAAAGAGGTAAACATCTGTATTCGCAGTCAAAAACATTAGGCTTATAGAGTAGTGAAAGCAGACAGACACTCGTCGAATATTCAGAGAAAAGTTGCCTAAACAATTTAACTTGCATCACGAGTACTTCCAAAAGGCGTTACTAAGCGATGCTAAAAAGCTGCTTGATGACTGGCTACACAGATCAGTCATGAAGGTCATGAATGCTTTGTTCTACTTACACTCTTACCGCGGCCATGTCCATCATTACACTCTGCTCACCCAGGTAGAAATTCTATCGATAACTTTATTAAACTGTAGTAATAGTAATAACCAAATAAAAGATGGTCAATATGTTATGTTAATCAATTGTTAGCAAAAACAGTTTGCGCATCTACTTCATAATCCTCATTTGCAGAGTTCGAATAATAAGTGTAGGGCAAGTGATCCTATGAAAGGGAAAGTTCAATGGTAGCAAAAAGTTGCAGACTGGCCACGGATTTCGTTACAAACGCTTCAGTTTTATTACCTTTGTAGAACCGCATCAAGAATCTGAAGCCGGAAGGTAGTACATGTTCAAGTCTATCTGGAATTTTTGAAGTCTGTTCAGTGCAGGCGTTGGCATGCCACAGTTGAATCATGTCGTCGCCATCTCGCAAAGCCACCGAGATTCCAAGTAGTTCGGTAGGATTGTCCGAATCGGTGAGCTGCTCACCAATAGCTGCAAGTAGCAGCTCCTGCCAAATCGCTTTCTAAAAAGAAACATGTGCCATAGAAAACAACAAAATATATTTTTATCTATTGAAATTATGACAGAAATCGAAATACAGTAAACATCTAGTTATCATACGATTACGACGAATACAAACCTTTCGATAGGTAGTTAATTTACTAAAAGTCACGCAAGTAGAGTGACTAATGAAGTAGATCGTCAAGTTAAATAGTAAAATCAATAGTCCTAAAGACCCTTGCAACACAATGAAATACTTACAGTATCGCTACTAGCCAATCTGCATCTCCAGGCTCCGCCGTCCTTGTGTACGCCATCTTCGCGAATCGGCCGATGTTGTTCCCTCATCAAGTGGTAGCTATAGTTTGGACCTAATTCATTGACGGATGGGATGTTGTTATACACCTGCCAAAATGTCTGTACAGTGTCAACTGTGTAGATTTTTTTCAGATTACGTTCATAGTCTTCTGCTGAAAGACCACGGCAGTCAGTACTGACGAAGACAGCAGAGGAAGAGACAAAAGAATCCGTTAGCACAAAACAGCTTTACAAAGCCATGTCTCTATCGCCTATCTACCAAAGGGATCGTCTATACAATCCGCTCGATATATTTGACATTATACTATCATCTAGTCTCGGTAACTGTTATTTGAACATAATTTTTTACTGCTGCGTGCAACGGTTGTCACAGATGTTCGAAACAGCGATATGTTGGATGGGTTGTTATTAGTGGAATTCTAATTCGGTCGTTCATTATGAATCGAATCTCAAGACATCGCTTGCGCATGTACTGGCAAAAACATGCTAATTGCTGAGCTGCATAGCTCAAATGTGACTGGTTGCTTCGATACTACAGCAGAAGATCCCATGTTTTCGTTGACGGTTACAACCACATTATGCGAAAATAACGGTGCTGAGTAAGTGCTAGTTAATGGTTTGATTTCTCAAGTTTACTTCGTTTTCACAATACGATATCAGTAGCCGGCGCAGTTCTGCACAGTTATAGTCCCTATATATAGATACTACCTATTAGCTTTATTAACTGTATGGTGTTAACAATCGACACTAAAAATAAAAATGGAGTAATCAGATGTTGTTGATTCAAAAATAGGTTGTTGTTATTATTTATTAGATTTGCGCTGCGTCTGATTGATTTGTACAGCATTTGTTGGTGAGAGCGAATTCACCCTGACAGACCTAGGAGAACATCTCGGATTGTGTTGCATGAAGGTTAACCACTGTATTTGTAAATGTATATTTTTGCGTAGTATTGATTGCTCTACTATAGTAAATTTGACGCCTGGTAACAAGAGCAACATCATTCCCTAAGGGTACACCTCATGTATGTACACGCGCGTAAACAGTTTGTTGTTGTGCTATCGCTTTTGGCTACATATGCATAATATTTTCCTTCATATAAGCCTTACATTTTAGGGTACTTCCTGACAGCTGCGATGTAGGTATTATAAGTGGCTTCTTGAGTGCCATATTACGCCGTAATAGACCAAAGTGTACATGTAGTCACTTTCTTTTATCTAGATAGCTACCGCACAATTTACAAACATTTCAGGAAAAGCAGTGGATGAGGGAGACTAAGCAAAAGCCACTTAATCTTTATATTGCAATCTACATACATGCTTCTTTTTTGGCCAAACAATTTACGTTACGATTGTAGCGGCGTACCTTGCATGTAACAGAAACACGCACATTAAATAGTTAGCGCATAATAATAGCTACAGCAACTCTCTACTTGAGAATGTTACAGTTTTTTTCGCGCCCATCACAAGTTTTCAAAAAAGGATAATGTGTCACCATCTATTGGTACTCACTCAGGGTTCTCTCGCGGGTCATTTCTACGCATGCGTGACCATCTGTTTTCGACGCGGACTATCGCCCACAGGAAGTGCGCGCGCTGGCTGAGCGCACATGAAGATACGGGGTACCAGGAACACTGGACGCTGCTATGCTGTGCTGGTTGCTCAATGTTACTGGTTACACATGATTCGTTGTCTATCTCGCCGTCTCTGTTTGCGTCTGCTGTGCGGTGAGACACAATGGAGGCGCTAATTTACGAATCAGCAGGCGCACATCGAGAGGCGTCTGCGAGCAAACAGCAGAAGCCCCTTGACAAGCCCAGCAGAAGGAGAGAAGACTGGTGGCAGTAGCAGCACTTCGGTGCACACACACACAGATATCGGCCAGGCTCAGTACGGTGCAATCGCGAAGGGGAGAGTGCAGCTGATGATTGGATGGTAGTTGGGTAGTTGCGCGCAGTTCGAGAAGACAGACAAGGAGCAGCTCATCATCAAAACAGTGTCGCTTTGCCATCGTCTCCTCGTCGATTGGGGCTCTGTGTAAGAGAGCTACTGTTGCTGCTGTAAGGGCTGGCACTCTGTGTCACATACTATTTGTTACCAGTATATACCTGTACTAAGGTCAGTGTAAGCTGTAACTGCCGTTGGTCGGCTTCGTTATCGGCGCTCTCGTGGCTCTGTTGCTGCTGTTACAATCTTAACAGCTTTTATTTTTTGTCGTTGTGTACTGTTCTGCAGTGTGATGTTATCGTTACCTTGCTTGCTTGTTTAAGCTAGTTAATGGTCCACAACTGGCCGTTCGTTGCTTTTGAAGTGAATGTTGCTGTTGGGGGTCACGACAAACGGCAGGGGTCCAGAAACGTGTTGTTCTTGTCCATTCATCCGACAAATCGTTTGATGAGCCTGTCTATCCTTAGAGGAGCATTGTTCGTTGGAACGATGCGTTGCTCTGCGAACGATGGTGACCGCCAATATGTGCAACATTACAACAACTGGCATCAAAGCTAAAGGTGGCCCCTGGCGGCTCAGGGCGGAGGCTGGGCCCTCTCAGCTGGTGGCGATAGTCACTGCTGGTCGTCCACCACAAATGGACGTTAGTGATGTGAACTGGTGCAGTGTAACGCGAATTGTTATCGCTCAAAACGATCGGGTCCGTAGTTGGCAAGTTGAATATTTTTACGGTTATTGTTAAGCAAGCACAATGGAATAGTTCAGCCGTGGCTAGTGCCTCGGACGTAGGGGGCCGCCAGGCAGGATGTACCTTCGGCGAGCGTGCTTCTATCACACGCTGATTGCGTGGTTGTGGTTCGTTAGACTTGACAGCGTATCCAGGCTAGTGCTGTGCGCGCAGGGTCTCTCGCCCCTTGGCGCGCTCGATGGCCAAATTCGCTACTTTGAAACGTTGAGCCTGTCGGAGGTGCGCACTCGTCATTTATCCAAGCGAGAGGTGGCCCGCAACGGAGGCAGCAAGGAAGTCAGCTTCCGCGCACTGGGCCGTAGCTTTCAATTAATTCTATCACCTACCAAAGGGCTGCTGTCGGCTCAGTTCAAAGCATACACCGTTGATCGCACAGGAGCTCGTCGTCCGGTATGGGTGGATAGTTCGCAGTTTTTCGAGGGGAAACTGCTGGGTGAAGTAGATTCGAACGTAAGTGCCCACCTCGACGACGGTCTGCTTACGGCCTCAATTCGACTACCCCAAGATGTGTATGTTGTCGAGCCGTCATGGCGACACGCTGAAGCACTCCAGCATCCCGACTTTCGGGAAGGGACTTACAAAGATCTAAGCAATGGCACCAATATGATTGTGTACCGGGCCTCCGATGTTATCTACAGCTGGGAGCGCGCGGAACCTCATTCTGATCCGTCGCGTTTCTGTGGTGCCATTCACGAAGATGGGATAGCAAACATTGGTCGCATGTTCGGCAAGCGCGACCTCGTTCAGGAAGGTCCTGAAGGGGATCCCGTTGTCGGTGAGCCTCTTCGTAGCTATGAGCCCACACAAACTCGGTGTTCATTACTACTTGTGGCTGACCACAAATTTTACGAAAACATGGGCGGGAAAAGCCAGAAAGGTACGATCAATTTCATTATCTCGTTAATCGATCGCGTAAATAAGATCTTTCTCGACACAGAGTGGAAGGACAATGAGCGACAACAGGGCTTTCGGGGAATGGGTTTTGTTATCCAAGAAGTATTGGTACACACTGAACCTACCCCAGTAGTGAACGGTCAGGAACATTATAATATGGCTGGAAAAAATTGGAACGTTCGTGAGCTGCTAGAGGTGTTTTCTCGTTCGGAAAATCACCGCTGGTTTTGTCTGGCACATCTGTTCACAGATCAAAAGTTCGAGGGAGGTATTCTCGGACTGGCGTACGTCGGCTCGCCACGCAAGAACTCAGTCGGTGGTATTTGCAGTCCTGGCTATGTGAAGAATGGGCATACACTTTACCTCAACTCGGGGCTGAGCACCTCCCGAAATCATTACGGTCACAGGGTCATCACCCGAGAGGCGGACTTGGTCACCGCCCATGAATTCGGGCACAATTGGGGAAGTGAGCACGACCCTGACCTCCCCGAATGTAGTCCCGACTCCCAGAAGGGTGGCTCTTACCTTATGTATACATATTCGGTGTCCGGATACGATGTCAATAATAAACGCTTTTCGCCATGCAGTGTACGCTCGATTCGAGCTGTACTACTGGCAAAAGCTGGTAAATGCTTCTCCAAGCCCGAGGAGAGCTTCTGCGGCAATCTTCTTGTTGAGGAGGGTGAGGAATGCGACGCCGGTTTAAGTGCTTCGTCAGAAACCAGTGATCCCTGCTGTACGGCACAATGTAAGCTCAAGTCAGGAGCCAAATGCAGCGACCGCAATTCGCCATGTTGCAAGGATTGTCAGTATATGGAGGTGGGTATACTCTGCCGCGAAGCCATGCCAAACGCATGCAAGAAAGAGGCATTTTGCTCAGGTGAGAGTGCCGAGTGTCCTCCGTCCAAACCGCAGGATGACGATTCCGCCTGTCTGGATCGCGGCAAATGTCGGGCTGGCGACTGTTTGCCTTATTGCGAGACGCTCGGTCAAACCTCGTGCATGTGTGACAATGAGGCCGACGCCTGTAAGCGGTGTTGTCGGCCACATCAAAACTCGACGTGCCAACCAGTCGAGCCCGTCGAAGTGTTACACGACGGAACACCATGTATACACGGATTCTGCGAGGAAGGCTCATGTAAAAAGACCGTTCAGGATATCGTCGAACGATTCTGGGATATTATCGAGGACATCGACATTAACACAGTACTGAAGTTCTTGCATGACAATATTGTCAGTTTTGTGCTCATTCTCGTCACCATTCTATGGATACCAGTGTCCTGCCTCATTAGTTATACGGATAAGAAACGTTTCCGGGAGATGGAGGAATGGGCCAAAAGCCGCGAGCCGGCAAGTGAAAAGCGATTACCATTTGCTCTGCCGGAAGATCCCGGTATTAAGGTGATCAAGATACCGAAGAATGTAAAAGTGATTTCGATGCAAACGCGGGCAGTAGCCACGCCATCAGCGACTATCGATCGTCGCAGCAGTAATTCATCGTCGACCTCATCGACTCTACTCACCCCTCAGTCGAGACAGTGGGGTCACGCAGTTCGTACAACAGTTATTCCAGCCCCAATTCAACAGCAGCATCAGATTCGAGTGCCACCTGTACAATGCTGTATGGTGGAAGCTACCTCATCTCCGGCGCCCCCGCCTTCTACCTATTTGCCAACTGCCGGTTCCCAGTACCTCCCCAAGTGCGACGTTCCTTATCTTCCGGCGGGGGTTAGAGAACGGCGCCGTGATTCAGCCGCACACCAACTGCGCTACCTTCACAATGCGGATCAACGCAATCTTAGTCAGTATGAAATGCATAACTTAGCTGATCATATGTCCAGCTATCCGCATGTTGCCGCTAGCCCGGGTCCCTCGCTGACGAATCATCACCTTGGTGCACGATACCAAGTGGTGATGGGTCCCGAACCCGACTACGGGTTCACGTACGGGCCTCCGCGCACTCCTCGAGGGACCCATCCTCATGGCCATGCAGGCCATGTGCACACACAGTCACACGAAAGAAGCGACTATCTCTAGTCCACAACAAAACGTCAACAAGAATGAACGGGGTGGCGCGAGAAACGGGATAATTCAATTCATGGTGAATTGAATCGAGTGCAGTAAAAAGCAAAAACAGAAACCTAAAGGCAGTAACATTTGTTGTTACCTACATATACATATAGCCAGCAGTACATCGAAAGCGAGATAGAAATGGTGGCTGTTTCACATGATTGATATGATAACACTGATGACGATATTAAGAATTATGCTGATGATGAAGCTTTATTCCAAAGCGTATGCGAGCGGAGTGTAAGAAGACGAGTGTTTCTATCTTTTGTCGTGAACTATTAGGTCAGCGTTGTAAGGTAGGATATAGAATAAAAATAAGGGAAAAAAGTGACTGTAGTGTGGGGTCGGAGTGTTCGTAATTGTAACTACGTATGTAATTGTAACTTGTCTCTAAATCAGTCGGAGATGACAGCTGACTGGATATAGGCTGAGGTCACGATGAGGTTCGATTTGTGAATAATTATATAATGTTGAGAACGCTGAGGTAATACACGTTCAAGGATTACTATTTAATTATGTGTATAATGCTGGCTCCTTGAAGTCTCGTCCCCATCGATAACGTCGACACGGAGATGATAACCTCTGCTATATTCAGGAACAAACGAATGAATGAATGTCAAAAATGAGTGAATAATATGGTGAATTTTGGCTATTAATAAAAACAAATACAGTTATTGTATACTGCTGCATATAGCGAAGTGTTCAGTCACTTCGATGCTACTCGAGATGAGAAGGCGTCGTCGCCCCTTTGCCTCTGTGGGCGAAATTATCGAATTGTTGGTATAGCATAGACGCTCGACCAGACGGTTGTTTAAGGCGTTTCGAGCCAATTCTAGGCAGCCTCAGAAAGTACGATTACCGTTCTTGGTACCATGTACATATATTGCGTGTTGAAATGCGCGAAGGGAATACGTGCACGTAGAACTGCTACCCTGCCTTAATATTGGTAACAGCCATAGCAGCGGCAGTAGCAGCAATACCACAAACGGTAAGAATGAGAGAACGAATGGAAGAGAACTGACCGCTTGAACAGATGACTAATTTTCATTACGTGCAGCAAATCTTGCTCGGTTAGGCACTAAACGCCAATTGACACTAACAGCTGGAGAACGAGTCTGAGAAAATAATAACGAAAAACCCTGGTTCTGTACAGTTGACTGTGGAAGCGATTGCTTTGATGATTTTGAGTGTAGTAATTACGGGTTGGGCGAGCGGAAGAGTCACTGAAGTGCCCACAATTGCTGTAAATAAATTCAGTTTGATGTGCAACGTGTTAAGTGCAATCAACTTGCGAGTTTCCCTAAATAGCCGAATTGCACTCCTAATAAAAACGACGGCCGCACCAGTAGCAACAACAATTGTAGAAACAATTCCGAAAGCTGGTATATAACAAAACGGGATAAAGGGTAATTAAAGTAATATAATTTAAACTATAGGCGCAAGCGAGTAACCACTCGTAATGGAGAGAAAAAAAAGCTATATTCCAGGCAACAGATAGCGGGCGTGTCGCCAACGGCTGCCGTTGTATAATATCAGGTGATTAGAATACGAATAATAAGTATAATATGAGTGATCAAACATTTAAAATGGTCGATATTCGAATGGGTAACAGTGTGTACATGCATCGAGCTAGTTCGATTTTGTGGTGCTGTATAAGAAAACATAAGAAAGGGATAAACGATCAGTTAATGATCTGAAAAAAAGTGTTTTTTGATCCTTAGTTGATAGTATGATGGCCAACTTTTTTTTTGCTCTCAAGTGTAATGCATTCAGCATGCTCTTATGTAGATTTGCAACATTTTCTAAATTCGTTTTCATCTAAGTGATTCCTCGAGCAGCTCTAAAAACAGCGGTTCTTCAACCTGTGGACACAGATAATACAACATGACAGCTGTTAGCCAAGCTGTCCGACTAACCGATAGAATGGCTCCTCGTGTGTATCTGGTTCTCTTCATATAAACACGTTCAGATACTGATCTTTTCAGCAGCCTTAGGGAATCTCAATATGTACATAAGAGGTGACCACGTGTACATAATCATTACAGTGACAAAAGATGGTGACTTATCAACTACATATATATATATATATATATATATATATATATATATATATATATATATATATATATAGCTTTGATACCGCAATTAATGATGAGTGAAGTTTTGTAGGTTTTACCTTATAGGGCATGATCTTACCCTCCCCCTTTTTCCCTGTTAGGCTACCGAAGCGCTATTACGTACATCATCATCCA